AACAATATGTTCTGAAAAAGCTATTCTAATTATTCCAGTTCTCAAGCTGTTTATTTATTTATTTATTATTTTTAGCATGCCACTCTGAACCTCTATGTATTCATAGGTTTAATTTAATCACAAAATAGTACTCCTCTTTGCTTTAAATGTACTGAATCATTCTGTCCTAAGCTAGTCAATAACCTGTTTATAACCAGTGGAGAGAACATCCAGAAGGCAATCCATGCCCTTACATTAGGTGTCTATCTGGGATGGTGTGAATTGTTTTCCTGAGCAGTAGACTATCCATAGTAGACTATGGTTTTAGAATCCGACTTCGATTCTTCAAGTAAGTAAAACAAATTCCAACCAGCATAATCTCAGATGAAAAGAGCAGTGCAAGTGATGGCTACTGAAAATGAAAACATTTTCTGTATTTTCTTTATACAGTTATTTTCACAAACTAAGGCTGTTTTTTGTTTGTTTGTTCGTTGTTTTTTAGCTCTGCTTAAGAGTTACCATGGGATTTTACTTTTTTTTTTTTTTTTTAGATTCCTACATTGTGTATGGTTTGAACTACTCCCTCTTACTTCTGTCAACATTAAATTCAATCTACCAGTAGATATTCCCTTCTTTTAATCTTGCTATAAACCCTGGTGATCTTCAGCTTTCCCTGTCTTTGACATGCCTAAATAATTTTGTGATACCTGTATATTTTATACCATTAGTGACCAATCAAAAATCAGTATTCATAAAATAAACATCAAAAAAAATGGCTTTTCTCATGATTAAAATTCTGTTTAATTTCTTTCAGTTCCAAGTAACATCCATGACAACTCACATTCACTTCAAGAATATTTGGTGTTCTCATTAATATCTTGGAAGAGTCACAAGCTTGGTTGTTTTTTTTTTTCTTTTTTTTTTTTGTTTTGTTTTGTCTACTATTCTTAAATAAATTTATTTAATTAGAGAGTGACAATTTTCTTTTACAAAAGAATCCTAATCTGCCATAGAAATGTGTATCTCCTAATACTCGTCCATACTTCCAGCTCCACATTCTACCTATACCTTTCAAGACATTTATCTGTGGTACTCCAATCTTCAAGTCTAGCAATTAAAAAAAAAAAAAAAAAGGATTAATATTTCTTGATAGTAGGTCAGTCTCCTTCAGTCTCCTTTTAGCATATGTCTTCAGAACTCAACGATTTTCTGGGATGGGGCCCTAGATCTGTCAATGACTTGAGTTGGATCTGCATGGGCATTTAGTGCTCCAAAAACTAGTTCAAAAGACTGGTAAAAGCCAAGATTTATTCTTAAACTAAAATCATAAACTCATCTTTTAAAGCAGAGAAAACTGAAAGCAAGTAGTTAATAGAATGGCAGTAAAAAGGGTTTTAAGTTTTTCTCCCACTGGGTGTTGTATCTTTACAGGTGGGTCTGTGCTTCCAGCTAATTCAGAGACCTTGAGTGGTAGTAAAAATTCTTGTTTTTCACACCATTTTTTCCCGTGCCGGCTCAGATGGTTCTGAGGAGGAGGAGAAGGAGGAGGAAGAGAAGAAGCAGGAGGAGGAAGAAGGCTCCCACCTCCTATCAGATGCTTTTATTTCACCTAATCATTTCTTAAAGGAACATAATATAGAACTGGGAGAACACATAAATAAAACAAATACCATCTGTTTCATTCATGCAGAATCAATACAAGTTGTTGCTTTCACATTTGTTAGCTTTTTCATATCATGTTCTCTATCCTCAAGAGAAGAGCTAAGAGTAAACTGTCCTTGCTTTAATGGAAATGAATCTTATTTGGCTGTGCTACCTAAGTCAAACCCAAAGTACAGATATTGGATCATCTGGACTTGGAACTAGTCTCTGATGTTTTGTTCAGAAGCAACCAAAAATTGAAGTTCACCATAGTGAACAGTTTAACAGTATTATGCAACTGTCCTTATGGAACTTATTAGCTACTTGCAAATGTGTAATAATGTGGCTTAGTGTAGCCTAATATGAAGTTAAGGTAAATTTAATTACTTCCCGTATGCCCACAGGCTGAGAATGTGTAATGGACAGTCATTGAAGTGTGGCTGCTGTATAGGAACTTGTTAAGCCACAAGTTTATGTGCTTTGAAAGAAACAGAAAATAACATCAGTTAATTACAATTAGCTGCTCATATTATGCATCATAGAATCCTAGAATGGCATGGGCCGGAAGATCATCTAGTTCCAATCCTCCTGCCATAGGCAGAAATGCTACCCATTAGAATGGGTTGCCCAGGGCCTTGTCCATCCTGGCCTTGAACACTTCCAGTGACAGGAAATCCACAGCTTCTCTGGGCAACCTGTTCCAGTGCCTCACCACCCTCTGAGAGAAGAATTTCCTCCTAACATCTGATCTAAATCTCTCTTTTAGTTTAAAACCATCCCCCTTTGCCCTATTATTATTTGACTGAGTAAAAAGTTGCTTTCTGTCTGTTCTATAAGCCCCCTTTAAGTAGTGAAACTCCCTTAAGTACATAGAGTGCCAATCAATTAGAAATGAACACATAAACTGAAATTAATGGCAGGAAACTGAGAACTTTGTGCAATACAGGGACATTCTCACAGAACAGTTTTTTGTTTGTTTGTTTGTTTTGTTTTGTTTTCCTAGCAAGAAGCAACAGTTCATCCTTAGCACTGAAGCACTGAATCTTTCTTTTTTTTTTTTTTTTTTTTTTTTTTTTTCCGGATATATGAACTTTAAGGTAATTCTATAACGAAAATATAGCAAGAGACATTTAAAGTATCTGAGGGAATATTTTTGTAAATATGGTAAATAACCTCAGAATAACTATTAGTCCTGTTTAAAGAGGAATATATATTAAAGTAGGACCTCTTTCTTGCACATATCTGTTTCCTGCATGGGATATGACTGTTTACTTACATGACAATTACAACTACAGTAACAATTACAAGTTGTAAACAAGACCTCCCAGGGTTTTAAACTATTGTTGGTGTGACAAGACATGCTAAGACAGGACAACTGCAACTGCATAGTTCACTCCTCTCAGCTGAGATCAACATAAACATCCCCTAAGTTCTTGCTACACAACCAGTCAGACACAGTTATACAGACCCCCTAAGGTTAACTACACTAAACCTGGATTATTCCAGATACATTCCCTCTTCATTTGTGAAAATAAGATATTACTGCTTACTTCAGTCACCATGTCACCTGTACTTAAGGATTCTGATTAATGAGTTGCACAGTGGTTGCACATCTTTTTTTGATGGTTGACTCAGTAAGGAGCAATGTAAGGGTGGGGATAAACTCACTACAATGTGTCAAGACAGTGTTAGGTAGTCAGAATACGCCTATAAATTCATTTTACTTTTCTTTATCTTCCATCAAAGGTAAAGAGTTACGTAGTTAAGAACAAACTTACTCCTGAATGCCTAAAAATATCTGAGATGTGGGAAGAGAAAGAATAATCAAAAGAAAAACGGTGAAGATTATGCAGTTATATAGACTAGCCATTGCACAGCATGATTTCTGATTCAATTGGAAAGTTGGTGCTGTTTTACATTTGAAGCCATGAATATGTAGAGACACAGATTATTTGAACACAACTTAAAACATTTTTCAGTGGTGTTTTTTTTCCACATTTATCAGAGGACAAACAGTTCAGAATGCAATACAACATGCCAAGCAGCACGGACTGTGCTCTTTAAATAAACATATCTTTTTATTTTGTCATAAAAATGCCATGGAACAAGCATTTTAAGACAGATACTGCCCTTTCTTTATAAATATATTCAGGGTGTAGCATAATGAGGGACTGACAACTGGAAGGAGCTTGAAGTGGTACTACAGTGCAAACAGAAAACACCAGTAGTAATAAATCACTTGTTAAAAGCAAAATCTTCCCATACTGTCTACTGAAATGTTTTAAACATTTTAAGACAAAAATAATAAATATTTATTATTACACAGAAAGATAGATATTCAGTAGGGACATTCTAACAATTTCCCTGTTTTATTCCAAACCAATTTCTAAATGACTTTATTTTCTGACTAATTCTAATGATTTGCTGAAGAATTGACTGACGTTAATGCAGGAAGATGCTAACTGAAATCTGAAAGAATATATCAACACCAGAAGTTTTCCTATCAGACAAACATATATTTTGGATTTGTTCATTACCTATGACTACCTAACACTATCCTGGCATATACAAAATTGAAAAAAAGTTGATTGAATGAGGAAGATACTAAACAAAGAGGAAGTACTTAGAAGAAAAGCTTTTCAATCTCATTTTTGGTTGAATTTTAACAGAATGCTGTGATATTTCAGGAGCATTTATGGCAACTAATAAGTGGAATTCATTTGCTAAGCATCTTCATATTCAATGTTTGCTATTATTTAATTAGTAGACATTGCCTGGCAACACCCCAGTGCCAAAAAAAAAAAAAAAAAAGCTTAAAAATAAATCCGAATAAATTTTTGAAACCATCACACAAAGAAAAACTCACAAAAGAAACCAAAGGCTTACATTATTTTGACAACTAATATATTTTGTTTTTGTTTTTAATTATTACTTTTCTGTCTATGCTGATTATTACTTGCAAAGATGTGGGAGAATAGAATATTAAAAGATAATGTCAACAGAATTAATATTTCTCATGCTATTAGGTATATAATTGTTATAATTAGCACGATTTTCTAAATTACCATTTGAAACTCTGTATATCCTAGAAAGGCTCTAGCATATACCTATAGTTCACAGTTTTCCGATGAGTATTTTCTGAACTTTATTTAGTCTGAAACTTTCCTCTCAGATCTTGAGATAGAATTACAGAGAAGACTGATGTGTAAGGCACACTGACTGTATTAAACTGGAGAGGAGATAACCAAGCAACAAAGATAATCTGGAGGAGGCAAAGCCCAATCTGTATTGTGATAGAAACAGCAACTCTAAAGTACATACTTGCAATTTCTGATTTTCAATAGGTCATAAGTTTCATAGAAGAAATTCCTATTTCTTACCTACATTTCCAGTCATTAGGTATGAATTCTGAAAGTCCATCATTCCCATTCCAACAATGTGTATAAAATCTTCAATCACCTGCATTAACTCCACCGAGCCTGGATAGATCTAAAATAATAAATAAAGGAAGCTCAGACATTCTCTAACTGTGATATCAAAGTCATTACAGCAGGAAATTCAAATAAAATCTTAATGCAATCAAATGAAATGTGAGATTTAACAGTCAAACTGTTCTCGCCATGTTTCAATATCTAACATTTTCTGTGAACAACCACTTCTGTCATTACATCCCCATGTGAACAGATGCTGCTTTCCATATGGCTACATGAAATATGCTTTGTACAATGCAATGTTTTCTGTAAGTCACAGCACTTATAAACAAACAAGCAAACATTTTATTGACCACTACTAACTATTGGTTAAAGCATTTAATGTTCTGAAATAATTTTAATGATTTTTTTCTCTTTCCCGCCACAAACAGGTAAGTGCAAATCTTACCCTGGCCTCCATTGCATGATAAATCTGTCTTCCTTTAACCAATATGTATGTAATATAAAATATTAGTGATAATACTATTGTTATTACTGATGATTACTGATGATTACTGAAGTAGAATCATAGCATAGCTGAGGTTGGAAGGGGCCTATGGATATCATTTAGTTCAACCACTTGCTCAGAGATGTTGCCCAGGACTGTGTTGAGTTGGGTTTTAAATATCTCTAAAGACGGAGAAGCAAGGGCCCATCTATGCAACATGTTTTAGGATTCAATCACTCTTTCAGTAAAAGGATCTCTCTTTTCAATGTAAAAGGTATTCTTTCTTTTCAGTGGAATTTGCTACATTTTAATTTGTGCCAGTTGCTTCTTGCCCTATCACTGGACACCACCAAGAGTCTGGCTTTGTCTTTACTCCTCCTGATGTTAATGAATTCCTCATTAGGAATTTATAAAATAGACAGCATCCCCTCTGAACCTTCTCTTTTTCCAAGCAAAACTGTTATCACTTTCACCCTCTCCTTGTATGCTATATGCTTTATTGCCCTAAACACTTTCATGGCTTCTCATTGGGCTCACCATGTCTTGCACTGGGAAGCTCTGAACTGGATGCAGTAAATTAAAATTCGTTGCCTTTGCATTACTAATGTAACTTCTCAAAATGACTTTCTAAATGGTAAGTACTAGCATATTTCCAAGAAATATAATTTATTTTCAAAGCTGTAAGATACTATGATCACAAAAACATTAAAAATGGCTATATTCAGCCATAATCCATCATCAAAACTGTATTAAATATAAAAAAAAAAAAGTTATTAGCAAGCTTAAGAAATACTGCTTATATCACATGCATAAAAATATTTTTGGTGGTTATGGCTTTTGTCATGAACAGGACAATTTTCAGTAATGCAAGCTTTAACAACAGAAAAATAATGGATGATCTGTTCACACTGCTTTTTTCTTTCTATCAGTGAGACGTCCGAATTGCAATTTATGAGCAACATTCAACCCATTCTTTTGACCACTGAGATGACCAACTCCAACAAATGCCTATACTGACTATATATCCAAGCATGGTGTGCTCCATCTTCATCTTGCTTTATCTGTCTAGATTCATAGCTGTTTGGGTCAGGATGATGAATTTATTAATGTCCTTTGTTTTCTACATAGATCTTTTCATAAAAGGTAGGACAGCAATATCATTTTTATGAAAAATGTGTTATGGCATTTATGATCCTAACATTGCAAATGCTGCTTAAGGTGAAGGAGGCTTCCATATTCCAAATGATGTTACTGAGATATTGTGTGCTTTTTTGCATCCATCTCATTCATAACACACACACACTCACAGATTGTTCACCAAGGCTGAATTTCATTGAAATTCACTTTTTTTTCACTTGACATTTTATAGTAATAACTTCAGCAGAAACTGTTGAACAGTCAGTGTAATAGAGGTACTCTTCATTTCTATATATCTGAAGTACTGGCTAATCAATAGAATGCCAGCAGATGGTGATGAAGAACATGCTGAATAACTCCTGAGTTTTGAAACACCACTATACACTTATTTATTGTGGACTTGAAGTGGCTTCCTGTGTGCAGTACTTTACATCAGCTCTTAACAAAAGGCAAGTATTAAAGTGAGTGCTGCTTATCTGCATGCTATATAACCTGTAATTAATGGTATCAACTGCTGGCATTTAATCTAGAAAAAAGGATGTGCTGAGGCATTGCAGCTGTATACTTGATAGAAAGTCAGCAATTTGCTGACAGTGAGTAAGATTTTCTTTCCAGCAAAACAATCCAGAAAACCGACTAAGAGATCTAAGCTAACAGTAACAGGAGTTCAAGGAAAGCATACAAACTGGTAAAAAATGTTGGTCAGACTGCACCTTGGTTTTGTAAAATTGCATTAAAACAAACAAACAAACCCCAGAAAATCAAGAGAATAGCTAAACTGGGAACAGAATCACTCTTCTTTTTTTTTTTTTTTTTTTTTTTTTTTAATGAGGTGATGGTGTTTGGTATCATCATAAGAAAAAAAAGAATTTTGGAAGTACTTAGGAATACTTGGGAATACAATTACCCTTTGTAGTCATTATGAAGACACACTTGCTTCAAAAATGCTTATGAGGTGGCTTGTGTAACTGCCCAAGAACAGTAAAAAAGCAAGTAGTATGGTTTCTCTGGGTACCACAGCTCAGGAGTCTAATATTTAATGAATTCCCCAGTTTTGTTACAAGGCAGTTATGACCCCATGACTCCTGCATTCAGGAGTAGTGTTCAGCTCAGAAGTTGCTCAACTCCCTCCTTTCTTGTGTTCCTGTCTTCCTACCAGTGCTGTACCCAGGTGTATGAGACAATTAATTACTAGGCAGAGAAATGGAGCTGTGGGAAACCAGAAATAACTTGTCTTATCTCTCTTTTTCAATACAACTTCTTCAACCAGCAGAAGTGAGGGGAGGGAACATAATATATTGTTCCCTCTTTTACCCCCAAGTTATCATAATTTCCTCTTAGGAAATTTCCTCTCTCCTCTTCCTTGTATTCCTTGGTCTTGGTGGGACAAATAACGGACATGGCATGGGCAAGCTGGCAGGGAGGAGTAGAAGAAAACAAGTTTGATAACATGAGGAGTGTCATCTGTTCATTAGTGGGGCTAAAATAGTTGCTTAGTATCAATTCCCTAATCTTGGTGCTATATGTTTATGGAAGCTGCCCACATGCATGTGATTTTTCTGCTTCCATCCACCACTACTAAATAAAATGACGTACCTTGTCTATCTTTGTATCTGGAACTTGCACAGAGGAACAGAAATGGAAAATAAATAAATAAATAAATTCCTGGCTAAATTACAATGTGTCAGCTGCACCATTATATGTCCACAGGAACATTTGAATCAGTAGCAAAAAGTCCTGAATTCCTTCTTAGTAACATTATAAAGATGTCTACCTCCATGTACTTTGAATGCCTCCATCATTTTTATCTGTACATAGTTATCTGTTTATCCCTATAGTCACTGTTACTTGTATTGGAAATGTGATAGTTCCATGTCCCTGTTAATAAACGTAAACACAGCACTGTAGTATTCTTAGTATAAGCATGTAAGAAATACTCATATCCAAGTTAAAAAAAATCATTTGAATTTTATTTATACATATATGTATATATATATATTGAGTTAGGTTTTATTATTTTATAAAATAATATCTATCTTAGTCCTGAAATTTTTCTGTCTCAGGAATCGCAACTGTTCTCTTAAATACAAGTGTTTAGAAAGGGTCTACTGTTTATATTTCTGCAAGTAGTTTAGTGATGTCATGTCTGTTCTTTAGATGAGTTCTGATATGTGCTGTTTAATGCAACCTTGACTATAGCTAGTCTTTACTAGCAATTTTCAACTTTCATATGTACTTTCTTACAACATCAAATGGAAAGACATCATGAATAATTCCATGGAATAAAATGAAATCTGTTCATCACAAGAATATTCTATTCTTAATATACTTTTAATCTATTGAATTAGCTAATGGGGCCTGGAATTGTTCCTTTTTGAAAAGGATATTTTATTTCCAAAAAATTGTCTCATTTAGGATATAATTTACTTACAGTAGGGTGTATGCTAAGCCTCAGTTTTGAAATCATATACTCCAATTTATCCTGGCTTACTGAAGAAAAGTGTTGCTAAAGATTAATAAATACAATAAATGTCATATCTCATTTTGCATTTTTTTAATTGATGAGTTACAGAAGGCAAATCTTACCTGTTGTGCATCTTCCCATTTCTCTTTGTTTTCTTCATCTAAGAGGTTACTAATGATTTGAAAGAAGTTCTGAAAAGTCAATTAAATAAAAGACAAAGTAAAATGACTTTAATGACATGAACAATTGTAACCTTAAGTCAATATCAAGAAAGATTTCCTTTCTCTATTACAGATTCACTTTTGCAGCCCATATTTATATCAGTGGAAGAGATGACATAACAAAATATGTTAGACTGACAAAAGAGCAAATGTATTTTATGGTTAATTGTTCATTTCTGTCTGTATAATCAGGTTCCATGCAACTACTTTATATAAAATAAGACCTGTATTGAACTTGCATCAAATTCTAAATGTGATGATATTCCACTTCCAAGTCACTCTCATTCCAGAAACTAGACTACTATATATTCTGCAAATAAATAAAGCATACTAATAAAATGCTTGTCTCAGGGTCACTGGTTTCTGTTCAAAACATGAAAATGATCCTTAATGACCACAAACAGTGGATGCAGTGGTATTTCATTGCCAAATGCTGTCTGACCCTAGGTGCATATTACTTTTTGCCTCTGTGCTTTTAGTAATTTTGTCAGAAAAGGAATAATTAATTTCTGTTCTTTGACCTTGAACTGTTATTTTCTATATATGATTGTCCAATTGATTTAATTACAATTGAGCAAAGCACAAATCAAAGCCATGGCATTTAGCTCTTAAATCATACATTCAAAATCATTCTTCTATATTTTTGTGGAAAACTTTCCTTTCCTTTCCTTTCCTTTCCTTTCCTTTCCTTTCCTTTCCTTTCCTTTCCTTTCCTTTCCTTTCCTTTCCTTTCCTTTCCTTTCCTTTCCTTTCCTTTCCTTTCCTTTCCTTTCCTTTCCTTTCCTTTCCTTTCCTTTCCTTTCCTTTCCTTTCCTTTCCTTGCCTTTCCTTGCCTTTCCTTGCCTTGCCTTGCCTTGCCTTGCCTTGCCTTGCCTTGCCTTGCCTTGCCTTGCCTTGCCTTGCCTTGCCTTGCCTTGCCTTGCCTTGCCTTGCCTTGCCTTGCCTTGCCTTGCCTTGCCTTTCCTTTCCTTGCCTTTCCTTTCCTTGCCTTTCCTTTCCTTGCCTTGCCTTGCCTTGCCTTGCCTTGCCTTGCCTTGCCTTGCCTTTCCTTGCCTTTCCTTGCCTTGCCTTTCCTTGCCTTGCCTTTCCTTGCCTTTCCTTGCCTTTCCTTGCCTTTCCTTGCCTTTCCTTTCCTTGCCTTGCCTTGCCTTGCCTTGCCTTGCCTTGCCTTGCCTTGCCTTGCCTTGCCTTGCCTTGCCTTTCTTTTCCTTGCCTTGCCTTGCCCTGCCTTGCCCATTTTCTATTGCCAGTCTTTACCCTTAAAAGCTAAGGGCTTGTGCTCTGTTCTCAGCTCTGTATCACTTTTCTTGCAGAATGTCAAATTTGGCAATAGCCTGCCAATTATAATTTTTCTGTTCCTTCATAAAATAAATGTGTAACTTTTAGTGACCTTAGCTGAAGAGTATGATTAAGATCATCACAACCTCTGAAAGTGAAACACCACCCATAGGCCCCTGTTTGAACTCATATTATTGGTCATATTTCCTTCACCAGCACTTAATTTTTAGTTGTTTTGGGGTTAAAAAAAGGTATAAAAAAGGTTCAAGCAAGAAGTAATTTTAACACACTGTTTAATGAAAGTGCAAAGCATTCAATAGCACAGTGACTGAGAGCAGAAATAACTTCCAACTTCACCGTACCATACTATACCATACCATACCATACATACTATACTATACTGTATGATGCTTGTACTAAAAAAGGCATTTATTTCAAAATTTTACATATTGCAGACATTTTAAGTGTCTCATATCCATGTAAGAAGAACATTGTAGAACACAAAATTGAGTAAAACTTGTGAAAACAATTTTTAAATAAAATTATTTTCACCAGTTTAATCTAGTCCTACCACTACCTACCTGACATGCATCTTTCCTCATCATCAGGAAGTCAGTTATGCTAACAAACATACTTACATTGTTAAAAATTGCTTTAAGTTGGCAAAGTTTTTATAGAAGTGAGACATGTTTTCGTGAACTTGTGCAACAAGTCCCATATGTTAATGAAGGCACAATTCTCTTACTGAAGTCAGTGGAAAAATATCCATAAGAGTCAATAAAACAAAATTTAATGGAAAGAAAGCAAATGGCTCAGAAGTTCCGGTGCAAATGACAAGTAGGCATTGGGAGGGAATGATGGATATTAAAGACAGAACATTAAAATAGTTTCTCATGGTTTTATCCAATTTGCACAGATACAGAGGTCAACTTTACAGTAAAGCTGAAGATAAGAAGAGGAAAATTCCAAGCCGTAAGACAAGGGGAAATGGTCTCAAGTTGTGCCAGGGGAGGTTTAGGTTGGATATTATGAGAAATTTCTTTACTGAAAGGGTTGCATGGTATTGGAACAGGCTGCCCAGGGAAGTGGTTGAATAAACATCCCTGAAGGTCTTCAAGAAACATGTAGATTTAGAACTCAGAAGCGTGGTTTAGTGGTGGACTTTAGTACTAGTTTAAGGGCTGGACTAGATGTCAGAGGTCTTTTCCAACCTGAATGATTCTGTGACGCTATGAAAATGTAGCCACAAATTGTTTATATTCCAGGAACACATTTCACCTATGAAATGAAACATACTGAGAAGAGTTAAGCTTAGTATTCCTTACATAGGATTTGCCATTTTAACCAGGTTGGCAAATTGTAATTATATAAATGTTCATAAAAAAAAAAAAAAGTACAGCTTTATTGGTCCCTAAAGTAAAATAAACTGTACTGGCCAAAGCAGTTTCATGGCACTATGTCTACTCTAGGACACTATGATTTTGGAAAAGAGTTCTACTAAGAAGAGTTGGCTCTCACTTTTATTTATTTATTTTTCACCCAGAAGATACTTTTTAAAGCATGATAGTTCTGCATTCTTCCAATGTAATACTCTGGAGATGCAGTGGACAAAAATTTTAGCTAACTTGTTAGTGCCAGTAGCAGTCTAGATGCATTAACATGTTCAGTGTGGGACAATTTACCATGGTAAGGAACTGGTTCAAAGTTAGTTTTGCACTACATGCAACCAGCGTTCCCATGCAGAAACAGTATGAGTGCTAGCTGCATAAGAATCCATGTCTGTGCAAACAGATATATCTGAGAGTAGTCTAGATTGCCTGAAAAACACTCAGGAGGTATACATGATACATTGCTTGCTGATGATAAATTATATAGTTTTGCTAATAATCCTATGTGTTAAATTTTGTGTTTACTGTTAGTTACATGAAAGCATTAAAGTACTCATCAATTAATAGTAACGTATATGAAAAAAAATATATAAATCATTCTAAACTCAAGTAAAACAAGAGATGAGCAATAATAACTGATCTAAGATACACTTTGTACTACCGTTACTAGCTAATAAACCATTAATGTTGTTTATGAACCTAGTGACAAGAACATCTTGATTTTTAGGTTCTTTCTTTTTTCTCTACTCCAGTTCCTAATATGTCACATTTATTGTAGCTGTGGAGGCTATTTGAAGATTTGAGATATTTGAAGATTTTTCAGTCAGCAATATCAGTGCTTTGTGAATTAAACAGATGATTAAATGGCTTTGCTTCTTCAATAATGAATTGAAGATTATAATTGAAGACATGGAGATGCACTCCAAAATATGACAGTTGAATAGAGGTTAAAAAGTCTTTTACCTACTTTGACTATTTCCTTATTCATTTCCTTAATGCTGTGAGAAGCAACATTGCCCTTTAGTAAAATGATTGACAGCTATGAAGGCTAAATTTTGGAAGCATTATTTGGATGTAATATGATGGTATTACTACAGTAAACACAGGACCTCCTTGTAGCATCAGGTTCCTCCTTCCTTTCATAGCAGGGTTGTGTATTGCTGAACTGGCTGCTATAGAAAATGCTGCAACAGCCAGAGCCAAATTTTGAAGTCCTTTATTTTTGCCAAGGCTTTTCTGAGGAGAATGCCAGTTACAGTCGGGAATGGACAATAATGTTTTCCTAATTTAATTTCCTCCCTTTCAATCTTTTTCTTTTGTAATACAATGGATGCAGTTCTGTGTTCCAGTTTAAATTCTTTGACCCTCTCTGCAGGCATAAAGCTGTCATAAATCCTTTTATATGGTTACAGAATTCCTCCCTAGGAAGAATTAATGAATAGCCTAAAGTCACCTCTACTTTTAGACTTCAGCATCAGGAGTGTGTGTGGAAAATGTAAACTGGGGGAAAAAAAGCATTGGGCAATCCTGTTAATTCCTCACTGACAGTGATGGTCCTTGTGGTTAACATATACGGATTATCATAGAATGGTAATAGAAATAATAGAATGGTTTCAGCTGAAAGGGACCTTAAAGGTTGTTGGAAGGAATGGGTTAAAGGCAGAAGACTGATGAGGAGGATGGGATCGGAACAGAAAACTGGCGAGGAGGATTGTAAATACACTCAAGTGACCTTGCAGCTGGGAATGTGCAAAGTTTGGGAAGCATCAATGTAGAAAAACATATAAATTATGTCTGCTGCTGTTTGTGCTCTGTGTGTTTGACAAGTAGCACATTTGTGCATAGATAACAGAGGTGTTTGGTGGACTTGGAGGCGCTCTATCAGATGTGCTTGAGCTCCCAGCCTTGGTACAGAGCAGTTCAAAGAAGCACAGTGAGAATCACAGTATGGTGGTAAAAACTGCACCTGCACAAACTCTCAGTACAACAGGTGAGACCAGTAGGCCAATGACCTCCTAGCATGAACCCTGTTGAGTGGTTTCTGCATTCCTGCTTGCGTGCCTGTGCTTGTGTTCCTCTGCTCTGGTGCTGCTTCAGGGATTACCTAGTTGGCGAGGTAACAAGAATAAATCTACTTTTTGCATTTTAGCTACAAGTCTGTGGCTGTTCCTCTTGCCTGCTTATGCTGACTCTCACTTTGATCCTCTAGTTCCAATCCCCCTTCCCTGGACAGGGACAGCTCCCATCAGACCAGGTTGCCAAAGCCCCATTCAGCCTGGCCTTTAACGCCTCCAGGAATGGGGCATCCACAGCTTCTCTGGCAACCTATGCCAGTCCCTCAGAACCATCACAGTAAAGAACTTCTTCCTTATATCTAATCTAAACCTACCCTCTTTAATTTAAAACTATCATCTTTTGTCCTATCACTACACTCCATGACAAAGCGTCTATCTCCAAGTTTCTTGTAGGCCCCCTTTAGGTACAGGAAGGCTCTATCTGACTTACACTGACTTTTTTAAAGTACTTTTAAAAAAAAATATTTATCTTCTAGGTAACATATTTCTTACACAAGTAATTGCAGAGTGGCCATCTCATAGCAAATAGTGTCAGTGTACCCACATGATGCATTTTGATTTAACACCCATATTGAGGAAAGATCTTGCTTGTAGAATAATTATGTAAATCTATTTGCTGCTACTTTTGCTATGGTGCTGCTATTTTAAGTCATTGATGAAACATCATTCTATATTGTTTAACTTCCTCATGTATGCTTATTTTTCTTCCTGACACTGTATACAAAGCATATATGTAAAACCTAATCATTGTAAAAAGATTAAAGTATGCAAAAACAGTCATATGGTACTAGACACAAATACTTTAGGATCTGTCTGTCTAAAGAAGGGGCACTTTCTATGTAGCACGTCAGGTAGAGGAATCTTCATTTTGAGTAATTAGCCCTAAAAGCTGTTCAAATTTGATCTCACTTTTCTGTTCATTCTTTTCATTATGGAGTCGCTGAATCACATCATTTGCAGTATTCATGAATATTCATACTGGATGTAAACCAAAGACTGTAGAGGGACTATGCAAATGGATGGAATTTGTAAAAAACAAATATACTCAGATAAATACACTTCTTTTTTCAGTTTAAATTGAGTGTAAGTGTGAAAAGAGATAACGGTCTAAGAAGAAATTATAGGTCTTAGGCTGTTGTTTTTGTATGGATCTTAAAAATATTATTACTCATAATTCAGAATCTACTTTTCTGACACCAGGTGGAATGATAAATTATGACTTTCTGAGATTTTTTTTTTTTAAAAAGCACGTAGAGATTCTAGTTTTTATTAATGCAAAAAAAAAAAAAAAAAAAAAAAAATAGAACACCACACAGCTACTGCAGAATGAAGAATCTTAAATATTTTTTTTTTTTTTGAGAAAAATAATTTAATTTTCATCCTTTTTTCATATACTTTGATGATGGACTAAAAAGTATGAACATATGTGACAGTGAAAATGAAAGATATGATTATGGTGCAAAGATACTCATGTTTACATAAGAGCATATCCCCTTTTCTCAGGAACTGACTGTAAAACACTGATGTTACTGAGGCAGGATGTCATTTTATATTGTAAAAAGTCAGTAACAAGAACTTAACATATTCCCTGTGGAAAAGTGAATCATTCTGATTTTACATATTTTCCTGAACACTTTGCAGTAGTTTTAAGAATTTTACCTAAGCTTTAAATTTGTGTAACTTTTTGATTTTGTCTTCTGAAATTTATTATTATTACTATTATTATTTCCCCAGATAGTATTTGGTATTTTGGTATTTAGGCAATTATTTCTTTGATTTGAGAAATCCTTCCTTATTTCTTTAATAATATGCCCTAACAATTTTTGCCCTCTTTTTTTTTTTTTTTTTCCTTCACTTAATTATGATTAATTTACAATTATGTAAATAGTGCAAATAACTTCTCCAAGGCAGTCCTGCCAAAATACTGTTAAGATTTTTGGAAACATTGCTGAACTGAACCGAACTTTTGGCATTTTCATCAGTGAGAAATCATATTCTCTCTAATTTATGTAAATTCCAAATGACCTGCTCTGCTAAGACCATGAGCTAAACCATCATGTCAAGCAGATTCTTGAGCCTGGTTCTACCAAAGATTTCTATAGTTCCTGTGAATGATGAAGAAGTCACATTGGACTGTCAGACTGTAGAATGTGTGAAAAGTTTGCAGCAAATAATACTCCATTTAATAGTTAAATTTTGTGTAAATATATTAAACTCATCTGAATAATAAAACAAACAAACAAACAAACAAACAACAACAACATGTCCAGCCAAAATACTTTTTGGGAAACACTGTTTAAACTATATAACCTTCAGCTAGCTGAATGCCAACATAATAGACATTACTTTTATGCGGAAGCTCATTTTTCTCTGTGCATAGATACACAAGAAAACTGAAAATATAATAGCAAGCTCTTGAAAACTTAACTCTGAAAAACTTGTCTTTTCTAAGGTACATACACATACCTCTATATACATGCTTATCTGCATGTATAGGGTCCAAAGTATATTTATGATATATTTTTACCTTTACATAAGCAAATACATACATATGATCTTCACTAAAATCTTCATTATTAATTTATGAATGAAAGTCTTTTGAAAGAAGACATGAAAGTCTCTTTTCATAAATGATACATACATTTACCATCTTACTATTATTTTTAAGTACATTTATGGTCTTTTAAAAACATCTAAAATTCCCAGATATAGATCCTGATCCAGAAGTCCTGTAAAATATTTATTTTAACGAACATTGCAGAATGAGTTGTCCAGCCCATTAAGTAGAAATAATTATAGTGTTGTTATCTCTGTTATCTGATTTAGTTGGCCTACACAAGAAGAGTTAATATAACATATGAAATAGTAAATTCATATCAAATGGACTATTCACTAACCCTGTGCACTTCTATTTAGGTTTATTTATTCAAACTGAAAAAACAATCCCAGAATTACATAACTAAACACTGTAAATAGATTTTTAACTGAAAGGAACAAGAACAAAAACCACTTTGCTTAGGGCAAAAAAATACCAACATGCCCCTAGCAATCAAACCAAACCTTGACATGGAAATAAACATCATAAAGAAATAATTTTACATTTTTCATAAGCTATGTGTTTGTTTTTTTTTTTTAATTAAGTGTTGTTGAGTCTTTTCCTATTTTACACTTGTATTAGTTTTATAGTGACCAATGTGTATGTCTATCATTCAGAAAAAATTCAGAAAAAATAATTTTCCCAGTGGCACAAATAGGTGACATCCAGTATACTGACAAACTCCATTAGTTGAATCATTATCCTTTTTATATTCTCTTACCTGTACCCCATCAGATGCAGGGATATAACTTGCTCTTTTAAATGTGTCTGTAACATTTCTGAGAATTTCCACAGAAATTAGAAGGTCTCCAGCATAAAAGTTTTTCCTCTGAGTTAAATCCAATAGTGTCTTGGTTACTTGGGACATGCCATCACCAGCCAACATCCTCTGTCCCTTTGCGAGATGCTCTTTAATCTGTAGCAAAAGAACAAAATGAATATCAGAACCTACTTTACTGAGAAAAAGATATGATAAATTCTAAACACAACCAAATATGTTAAATAGTAAAGAAATTATAAATAGTTCATCTAGTTAAAGAGTAGCCAAAATACTAGCAGATCATGGTGATGAAATTTTTATATTTATCACAGAATCATGGATTTTTTAATGAAAGATTTGAAGGTGTTACAGCTCATCCATTAACTTCCCTTTGGATATCAATACCTTCTCAACATCCATGTTTTTAAGGAATACCATAGGCTGGATTGTGGCTTTAACCTACTGTTGCGATGTTTCAATAAATTAGTCTTCTCCAGAACAGATGCACAACTAATACTGCCATTCATTAAACAACTGAGAGCTCTGAAAGGGGTAAATGCTAAATGTTATAATTTAGTTTATTCTGGGGAAGAATAAACCCTTCATCTCTGCCAGCCCAGCTTAGCTAGTGGGCTTCACAAGAGTGAAGGTTTGGATAGAATAGGAGGTTCTGATGGTGCTCTCTTCTCTAGTACTAACAGGACAAAGGAGCTAACTTGGAACAATGTTGTTCCTGTTTTTTTTTTTTTTTTTTTTTTTTTTTTTTTTTTTTTTTTTTTTTTTCCCAGGAAATACAAAGCTCAGAATTATGATTTGCTTTTATATATCTGCCAAGGAAGCCTATTCCAGTTGTAGTTCTTCCAGCAGGCCTGTACAGGGCCAGTGATAAGTAAGGGGAATCCAAAATGCATCTGCTGGTAGAAGAATTCTCCTGACAAGAAAGTGAACTGTGGATCTGATTAGCTCTTAGTATTGACTCAACATCAAGAGATGATGCATAGTGTATTACAAAGATGTCACAAGACCAGCCAAAGCTAAAAAAGAGAGTGTGGTTTAAAAACCTGTTCTAAAATAAACACAAAATAAACATAAGTTCTTACAAATTGTAGCTAAATTAAATAAAAGATAAGTGACCCGAGAGAGACATCAACATAAGCAGGAAGGCTCAAGAGAAAATTCTATTCAACTGCCAATATCATCTCTTCAAACGTAACTTCAATTTATTTTTAGCTTGGCCTTATTACTGGACAGGATGACTAAGGTAATGTAGTATGGTGGTGAAGTGGAAGGAAGGGGTGTGATACCTTTTGTCACTTCCACACCTCCCCAGCCACTTGGTGTGGATATGTGAGGCTTCACTTAAGAAACAAACCAACAAAGACAAACAAAAAACCCAAAGAATGTAGTAAGAAATAGTACATTGATTAAAATGGTTCAAAATAAATTTTGTGACAGTAATGTAAAAAATTCAATCATTCTCTGATGTACATGATCTAAATACCTGTTACATTCTTTAGTTCCATTCTCAACTGGTTTTGAAATAGCCTAGATACCTGTAAAACATCTGGATCCGGCCTAAGTGTCTGCTTCGAATTATGTCTACAGCCTTAAGTTGTCTTTACAGCAGCTGGGGATTGTTATGGACCACAACAATCTTGTCCACACCCTAGAAATACTTAAGACTTTATGAAGTCTTAAGACTTAAGACTTGAAGACTTAAGACTTTATGAACAACTTTATGAAGCCCTTGGGTTGCCTTGGATATACACCAGCTGGTGGCAGAATGGACAAGGAATGAATCTACTCTACAGGAGTAAGTAATTACAAGCATCACTTTACAATCAAATGTTTTCAATAAATAAATAAATACATAATCAGTGAGGAGAATTAAGTCAGTCTTTTTTTTTTTTTTTTTTTTTTTTTACAAATATTTCAGCAGAAATACCACCCTCAGTCTTAAAAAAAAAAAAAAAAAAAAAAAAAAAAGCAGATAAATTTAATTGCAGAAATCCTTTTGTGCAGTTTCTATTCATTTTTTTAGGAGGCTTTGAAAGTAATCTTGAAGGAAAATAACAGTAGAGAAAAAGATAAAAAATAAAAGAGAATTCATTAGAGTAACTTCAGGGATCTGATATTGTATAAATAACATTATGGACTTCTAATTTCTCGGGAATAAATGAAAGAAGTAACAAAGATTTTTATTTGTGATTATTTTAGATTTTCTTTTTCCTCTGAAATTCTGCCATTTGCTTTATCTTATCATACATTGTGTCTAGGTGGCAAATTAAAAGAGTATCAGTTACCACAGTAACACAGAATAATGGAACTATTGCTGGAACTCTGTCCAGATGCTCACTATCCCCACAGCATATTTGCAGCTTTTGAGGATTAACAATATTATCATGTTTTGGTCAAGCACGAAAAACAACACACAAGGCAGTCCATAAAGCAGATCTCTCAAATCTAACACATACATGTAATGTGGGAAAAGGCATCACACAATTTAAAGACAGAGGTTCTTTTAATTCAAGTAACAGCAACAGTGATCATTCTTCATAAAAACTATCCTGCACTTTTATGCCTATAGAAAAAGCTAGTAGGAAAGCTGCAAGACTACTTAGCAAACTATTTCATATAGTATTATTTTGCTTCCTTTCCATCCATCTGTATTTATACTACCCCCAATTTGTTTTTTCCATCCTCTTGTTAAGCTCACATTTTAAAGATGTAGCAACAGCAAATCTCACATTTTTAAGATATTTGTCCCACCCCTGAAAGTGCTCAAGGCCAGGTTGGATGGGTTTTTGAGCAACGTGGTCTAGGGGGAGGTGTCCATAGCAGGGGGGTTGGAACTAGGTGATCTTTAAGGTCCCTTCCAACCAAAGCCTGTGATTCAATTCTATGATTCAATAGAGACAATTTGTTATTTGTTTTGGACAGAAGTCTTGCTCTCAGCCACTTTCTGAATGCAAATAATAAATTAAAATATTCCTGGGTGAAGCTTTTGAATAAGGAAAACTGTGTAAAGATCTGTTTTCAATGAAAAATTTTACAGACTTCTAGCAGCACAATTTGGAGCTATAGTATACCCTTTAGTACTTTCATCAAGATATTTTGATTGCTTTTGGACACAGTGGTAAAAATGGTCTACCAAGTGCCCACAGTGCTGCAAGACTACATTATTACACCTACTTCATAGAGTTGTGCTGCAGGTGATTGAAACTACCTAAGAATTATTGGCTATTAAAATTACAGCTCAATTTGGAACTTTAAAAAAATATATATTAATTTATTTTTTAATAACACACACAGAAAACTCAGCTTCCCAGCAAAAGTACCCTATCTCCCTTAGGTCACATCACTCTTGCACAGCTTGATGAGGACCTTTTCTTCCCACTCTCAAACAGCACATCAGTGAAGCATAATAGTGAAGTTCCTTAGCTACAGAAACATATTACAGCAGCATACCCTTACAGTAGCGTTTAAAAAAAAATAAAGGGGGGAAAAAAAGAAAGAAGCTTACAATGTGTTTAGATAAGGAAAGTGGGTGAAAATTAGTCAATTAATTGAAAGATTGATTACAGCCATTAAAAAAAAAATGGATTGGCAGGAAAGCAGTCTCCTTATTATCAGCTCATAGACACAACTTCAAAAATCACAGGCCATTACTCAGTTAACGTAAACTGGTGTAGCACTATTAAAGCTAATGAAGAGGTCCAGAGTAGTAAGGTTTGAAAGTAAAGTCTCCCGGATTACTTGCACAGCTACCACAAGAGTATTTCAGTGTGAAAATATAGAATTTCTTCATCAGCAGTTGGTATGATGTCTTTATCACCACATTGCTTACTTTCCATGCTATTTTCACTGTGATATTACACATTCTCCAAGATAGCTATTTTTGGTCACCACTGTAGATCCTTGTAGCTCTCTGTGAAGGTCATTTTTTAGTGGTCTTACAGGCAGGCTCATTAAAAATAAAGTTTATGAGCCAAGAGATAGTGAAATGAAGCAGCTGTTAAAGTGATACTTCAGTTGTCAGTCCAACCTTTAAATGCATGCACTATATGGCTATATACTTGAAAAATTACTGAAATGTTTAACTGGACTTTGACTCAGGGTCCAGCTGCCTTTGTTTCCTGATTTATGAAAAAGTAGGACAAAATAAAAATGATTCTTTACAAAGTCAGAGCTACTAGGCCCCTAGCTTTAGAGTAAAAAATTATTACTGCATAATAATTACTGCAAACAAGCAGCTAGACATGGTCTGAAAGGACAGAAAACAATGAACCCTCAAGAAACCTATAAAAGATTGAAAAGAATGGATAATTTGAAGAATAACTACACCATCATCCTTTTTCCATTATTTTTAATACTATGTTGAGTCCATGTCTTGACATTACTAATGATGTACTTTTTATGATGTAGGGAGTCTAAGAACTTGAATTAGGAAGACTTAGACAGAAGTGAGGAAAAATACTTTGAAATAAACATATGTCTTGAAATTACTCATAATCTGCAAACCATTTTGATTTGCACCTCCACAACCCAACACTAGTATTTTATAAAACATTTTTCATAAAGCTATTAAGACACAGAAAAGGAAGGAATATTCAGATCACCTGTGAAAGTCACCTGAGTTACTCAATTGTATTAAAAACCTAAAAGCTCTTGAGAGTGTAAGTTCCTCTAGAGAACAACCCAAGTCACCTGAAATGTTATCTTAAACGATCTGAATCATGTTACATGGCCTATATGGCCTCTGATCTTGAGGCTAGAATTTGCAGTACCCCCTCCATAAATATTAAGTGATGATTTTGCATTAAATTTACTTTTATAGTTACCAGCACTGAGACCTGTACACTTAAAGTGAGGCATATCAATAAAAATGCAGAAAATATATTTTTTTGGCAGCTGAAATATTCCCACAGGTATAATACTGAACTGAACTTATGCAGCACGCTGATATGTAAACTATAATGTGATGTCATTTTGAGAAAGCTTTCCCTTTCATATTTGAGGAAGATATCAATACAGGACATGTTTACTGATCATCAGCAGACAATCTTTTAAGTATTTCAGAAATGCAGAATCTAGAAGTTTCATCTATTAACATAATTAACTGCTTACTATTTTTTAAGGCAGTTTCAGGGTTAAAG